ATACAAGTGGACCTTTGTCGAGGTCTAGGGCTCTTTATCTACACCTTTTGTCTACAGAAATTATGGCATCAGATTACTGAAATATTATGCCATTCAAAGTTTAAGATTTCAGAACTTCAGAAGTACTAGAAATCCATAACAACCTGTTGATTTCATCCAACCGCCTGCGGAGATTTCAGTAAACTTAGACAGGAACACTATAAAAAGCACTGGAGATTAACAAGCAAGATAACCCTGGAGAGCAGCGCTGGGTTTCCACAGGTGAAACCAGAGGAGCTGCACACACTCTGCGTCTTGGAGAGATCCAGTCACCACAGCACGTGTGAACAAATGCTCTGTGACCGACTTCCCCGTGGCAGAGCAGAGGTATTAGCTGCGCTTATTAGAGCATACTAGCTGCTTGGTGTATTTTTAGTCCCAGAAGATTATACAGCAAGAGATACTAAAATGAAGGTCAACTCATAAATCCACGTTTCTGTATCAGCGCTCACTTCTGATTCTGGAGCAGGAGCAGCAGCCAGAGGGGTGGCAGAGCCACGCAGCGTTAGCTCCTGAGGCCACTGCCTCTGCCCACCAGCACCCAGCAGACCTGGCCCACCTACCACAGAGTCTCCAGCTTGGGGACAAAACACAGCTTTGCTCACCCAAGACCGCAAGCGCTACTTGTGCCGCCCATGACAAGTGGCAATTATTTCACTGGAGCATTTTACGAAGGTAAACGTGCACACACACTTCCATTTACTTCACTATTCTGCACAAGTTAAAAAGCTGCATGGTTAACACACACGCACAAACAAAAAAGTACTCGTGACTAATATAACTGCAGGGAAAGCAAAGATTAATTTTCTTTAGCCATACGGACATGGCACAAAAAGGGGAAGGTACATGAGGAAGGAAGATGACATTTTGAAGGTAAGAACCCTACCTAAACAGCTCTGCACTGTAAGTGTACAAATACTAGCATAAAAGAACATTATCTCCACTGCTGCTGACTTTACACAGGAAAAGCTGTAACTTGGGCAACCGCTTTTATATAAAAAACATTGAGTTCTTTTACAAAACCAACCAGTACCTCAGTAAAAGCAGCTTCTCACTACTACTTACACCTTTCTCTTTGTTAATGTTTGGGTTAATTTCTCTCTCTGCCTCCCAACATTAACTGGAGATGGCTCAGGGTCATTCAGATGAGAAATCATTAAAAGTCAAGATCAAAACAGCCACACTCAAGAGGAAAAATACTTGTGATGCCATAACAACACTTGAGAGAATAAACTGCCTGTATGAAAGGGCTGAGTAAAGCAGCAAACCTATAAACAGTCTTTATACACATGCCTTAACATAAGCATCTAGCGAGTTCTTCCACTCCAAAAGAGCAAACTTACCAGCTCAAGGATTAAATACTCATCTAATAAAACCCCTGTGACAAAGCCCCGTGTGAAGGTACGCTCGCAAGGTTTTGCTGCGTGCACGTTTACTTTCCACTAGGTAAAAACACAAAAGAATTCACGGAAGACACCTGTGCTTAACAGAAAGCTTGAGATCTCAGTGTAAAAGACAGGCGAAAGAACCGCCGCCGCTCTATAGGAGAGAGAGGAAAGGAGCGGTAACTTCTGGGTGGGCACTTCACCCGGAGGAGAGGCGGGCGGGACACCGGGGTGAGGATCATTCCCCAACTCGGCCGTATGTCTCTCCGTGAGGGCGAGGAGCCTCAGCCCCTGCCTGCGCCGAGGGGACCGGCCCCGCTCCCGGCCGGAGGCCGCCTCTCCTCCGCGGGCACCGCTCGCTGCCTCAGGCCAACCGCCCCCCGCCGCGGCCCGGCCCCGCTCCCTGCCTCTCCCCACAGACCCTCCGCCGCCCTCACCACGGCCCGGGCCCAGCCGCCTCCCCGGCACCGGCTCGCCCGCCCGCCACCCTACACGGCCGGCGGGGCCGCCACACCCGCCCGGCGGCCTCGGGGCAGCCCCGGAGGAGGGAGAAAGGGAAGGAGGGAAGGAGGAGGGCAGCCCCCGGGTGCCGCGCACACCCCCAGCAGGCCCGGCCGGCAGAAGGATACTGAAGACAGTGCGCTCCCAGGGCTCCAGCATGTAGAGCGCGGTGACCAGCAGGTACTGGTAGTACAGCCACGACATCCGCTTCCAGGCCGAGCCCAGCGCCATGGCGCGCCCTGCCCGCCCGCCAGCCGCCCTGCGCCGGGCCCAGGCCGAGCGGAGGCGGAGACGGGGGCGGGGGCAGCCCGCGGCCCGCCCTCCCGGCACCGGCACCGCCCCGCGATGGGCGGCTCCCCCGGGGTGGGGGCGCTGGGGCCTGCGGGGCTGGAGCGCACCGCCGCCTCAGCGGGCGGAGGGGAGAGGAGGGAGGCCCAGGGACTCGGCCCGAGCTGCCCGCAGGGTTAATTAACACCATGAACGGCACATGCAAAATTAAATTAGAGTGTTTGCCCTCTCTCTCCCTTGGTGCCCGAGACCCAGAGAAGCCCTTGCTGGACCCCCGAGCCCTTCCCTCCCTCCCAAAGCTGCAGCGCTCACAGCGTCCCACATTCGCTCCCCGCTGATGGAATCGGCCAAGCAGAACCCTCGTATATTTTATATTAGGATCAATATTGGTTCTTTAGTGTTATTAAGGTTAATTGTCTAGTCTTAACCTATTAAATCTGTTAATATTTCAACCCTCGGGTTTCCTTGATTTTTACCCAATTTCCCTTCCCAGGTGGGGAGGGGTCATTGGGTGAGAGAATAACTGAGCAGCACCTTGTTGTGGGTTATCAAACCCTGACACTGGGTCATGCCTAGGAGATGGTGCTGCAGCACCAGCCGATTTTCTCTCATCCTCTGTCACCTACATTGATGTTCTGGGAATTACCAAAGACCCACAGACCGACCCACGGGAAGGGTGGTAAGAACACGCTGCAGGAGCCTTAGGTGGGTGCCTGCAGGTGGCAGAGAGTAAAGCCCACCCAAAAACATGGCTCAGATAAACAAGAAGTTAACAGCGGCCAACTCTGACTAGGTTAATCCCATACGAACTGGGAAAATAAAGAGGTGATAGATCAACTGTTGACTGTAACCATTGCTAACTTTGGAAACCAGGGGGTGTGGGACACCCTGCCCTGATGCTAATTGGCCTCAGGTAAGGAGAAGTTCCCAGAGACCGGCCTGGGCCTGCATGATTAGGAAGGCTGTTGGCAGCTTATACTGGTGAGTTTAGAGTTCTTCCCAGCTGAAAGGCGGCTGGAAGGGACGTACAGAATCATCGGGCACCGTGACTAAGCAGAGCATGAGGTGCAACTGCTGGGGACGGGGCCCACCAGCCAGGACCGGGCACGCCGAAATGTGCACAGCGTAGATTAGAAACTGGTATCAGCCCACTGTACCCACCCTGCTTGGTAAATCAGTTTGTGATCACTGAGCGGTGGGATTCTGTCCTCGCAGCCACCCCACCCCTACCTTCAGCTGCACTAACAGTACAGGAGAACGATGGGGAAACACACTCACAGGAGGATGCACAAACTGAATTATTCACACAGGTGCAAAATACAACTACAGTACCAGGAGATGACTGTGAAAAATAAAACCAGCTGGTGGAGACAACTGCAGACTGTACTGGTTTGTGTGGCAGCATCTGAAAAGGGATTTAATTAAACCAGAGGACATTTAGACACACTTTATCTATGCAGATTTATTTCAGTACAAGAAGAAACGAGAGCACTCACACACTTAATACTCCCACCCAACTGGCCACAGCAGCTGTTGTCCCCATCCAAGCCCACTGCTGCTTGTTGCCGTTGCAGCTGGGGAGTCCTGTGTTGGTGTTGCTGCTTGAAAAAGCAGTGGGAATCATGAAAGCCTCCCTGCTATATAAACCCCTAGGAAGTTCACGGGCAGGTGGGGTATTCAGCACAACTGAAGCATTACTTCCATTCAGAGCTGCAGGAACATTATCAATATGGGGCAAACATGTCCCAGCCCTGCCTGCTCCTGTGCTTCCTAACGAGGAGCCCTGCAATTCAAGTGATAAGGCAAGCAAGAAGCAGCAGCAAGCTGGTACCTGGAATGAGAGGAAAGGTAGTGTCTAGAAGGCTTCCAAATCTCCCACATCATCTGCCCTAACCCACCATGTGGCACCCCGGCCCCTTGCACCATACACATGAAGTATTTTTGCTAGTTAGCCCCTTAAGAAAATTGTCAATATTCCTCTGTATAGTTTCCCCTCCTTCGCCAGCTCCATTCTACCCCAGCTTAGGGACTGCCATCATCTATTGTTCCTCCTGCTATCACCTGCTTCAACACAGGGGTTGGAAGGGACCTCTGGAGATCGTCTAGTCCAACCCCCCTGCTAAAGCAGGTCCACCCAGAGCAGGTTGCACAGGATGGCATCCAGGTGGGTTTTGAGTATCTCCAGAGACGGAGACTCCACCACCTCTCTGAGCAGCCTGTCCCAGTGCTCTGCCAACCTCAAAGAAGTTCTTCCTCATGTTTAGGTGGAACTTCCTATGCTCAAGTTTGTGCCCATTTCCTCTTGTCCTGTCACAAGATTTCACCTTTTGGGAGCCTGCCTGGAGGAAGAGAGGGAAGAATCCATTGTTAACATTGCGGTGGCCTCATAGACTAACCAAGAAATCTAAATATCAAGTAGCAGAAGCTCTTTATGCTTCCATGAAGAAGCTGTAAACGTACTAAAGAAACAAAAAGTACAAATAGTACAAAAAAAAAAGACAATAGGAAAAAAAGTCTAGTATTTTCTTAATATACATATTAACATTTAAAACTCTTAACCGTATTACCAAGCATTAATATGCTCATTTAAATGATCCATGCCAGCAAATTCAGAATAAACTAACCTTCCACTTTGTATAAATAAAAGTTTCCATTTTTGATATCTTAATGGGCCAAAAATCCAAATATAACAACAATTCCTTTCTTATCAAACCTACCTGTGTGCAAATCTACCAAGAATACCAGCCTAAAGAAGCCCAATGTCCCAAATGCAAGTTGTTTACCGTGTGCCATAGAAATGACCAGTGCAGCTCTGGAGAACCAGTTACTACACAGGATTTATTCTAAGCAGCAGTTCTGATACATATTGAGAAAATGGATGGTATATATACAGGGAATGGTCATAATACACAGATTTTACACTATATTTACAAAATTTTAAATCCTCAATGATGCAACCACCTGACAGTGTGGAAATATATTGCTCTTAAATGCACACAGTTAACTATATTCTCTTCATAAGCTTTGCAAAAATCCAACCATTATGAAGTTTTCTGATGAAAATGTATATTTAAAAGACCGTATTTTAAAAAAGCTAACGTGCCTGCACTTCTGATACTTCACACAGTCTTAAAATAGTGCAGGATTTCCCCCCCCTGCTTTTGCGCATTAGGAATGGCTGGCTAGAACATTGAAGAAGTGAAAAACTTCATCTTTATCCATTACTGCCACTTCAGTTGAGCACTCAGTACATAACACTGGATGATACACTTCCTCCTCTTCTTGATTTGACTCTATAGAGGCAGGTTCTTTGCTCTGCTTCATTTTCTTACTTCTTTTCTTTAGCTTCTTTCTGTATTTCAGAATTTCCTCCTTGTTAACAACGCAGTTCATCACAAACATTGCTCTATATTGTGTTTTGTAAGATTCGTGTCTATGGAGAAAGGGAGAAAATGCAAGTCATACCACTGGTAAAACTCTGCTTCCAAAAAATCCATTACCGTCACTGGAAGTGGGATTAAAGATAGGAATTACCATGCCGAAGGGCTGGAAGCCAAATAAATGTGAAGTTTTGTAAACAGAACAAGTCACAACTACATGATTCATAAAAAACTAGAATTGCAGCCATCTGTCTTGTTTTTAAGGCATTTTTAAAACACACTGGTTCTTACTGAACTAAACACCCCGGAGTAGCACGGTATTGGTACTACAGAATTACACTTTGCTCCGTAGAGCTGATGATGGGCAAAAGATCATGAGGTTGTGAGTACAACCAACTCGACTACCGGCACTTATATCATAAAATGTCTTGCAAGCCTGAAATTCCTTATTTATAAATAACGAGCACTGACACATCACACTTGAAAAAGCACGTCTAGACTGAAATATAGAATTTATTTTCAGCTGCCATAACAACTGTATAGCTGGAGTATATAGCAAAACTCAGGCCTCCAGTTCAATTCAATTCAATATGATGTCCCTCGGGCTGCAGTTTTACAGCAGCCTAAACCAGCGTAACCGGGGGCTGTGGAAGTCCCATCTCGACTTCTGCTGTTTTACTGCTTGTATTACACTGTGCTGAGCTCTTTCAGTTGACTAAGCCCACAAAAGACCTGTCTGACAATAAAAACGGACGGTTCTCTGCCACCTTAGCAAAGTGAAATACTAAACTATAGAGCAGGGTCAAGGAGTACCAGAGCCAGCAGAGGAAGAGGGTGAGAAACAGCACCCAGTACTTAGATGGTATTAGGCTGCTACAGTATTTCCTCAATCACCAAAAATACTCAATAAATGAGAGGTAATTTATTCCCCATTTCACAAGATTTCCATCTCCTTTACTCCCAGTTCCTGAGTCCTCTCCTTAGCAGGGATTAGCAGTACTAACTGGTTTGCAGTGCAGTCAGATACTGGAGCTGCAAAACACACTATGGATTCTCCCCTAAATGTTTTCCAGGCACTTTAAAATGTAATTATACTCAAAACCACAACTGCTAAGACTCAAACCAAGTAAGAATACGCTATCTTGATTTTGCTTAATCCTCCCCTAAACAGGGTACTTTTACACAAAAATAATCCAGAATAATTTTATGCCTCTAAACATCAAACCAACATGTTTAAAAAATAAATATGAAAAAATCAGCCTGAACTGCCTGTATCCACAAATTACTATTTTTTAAAATACTTTACATCCTCCACTATGCTTAAGTTCTACCCTGTTCTTCCTCAACTCTATGCTGGAGGTTAAACGGATCATCATTCTTACAATCCAGCATTCACCACTAAATCTGACTCCCATATACACACCTGCCTTCTCTTTATTAGCGTCACCTTGCAAGACAGAATTGATCAAACCAATTGATCGAATTGAATGCACTAAAAATACTACTGACCAAAAAAAAGACATTACAAAAGGACCCCTTATTGTTCACTAATTACCTCTGGCAGTCCAGGCATAACGTTGTCATGCAGGCAGGGCAATTCAAAACAGCGTCACTGTTTGGAACAGCGGCAGGTTTTGTCTGCTGCTGCTGCTGAACTCTTCTCTGATTACGGTACCTGTCCATTCCAGAAAGGAGGAAAGAGAGGCAAAAAGTGAAATTACATGCCCTTGCTGTCAAGGATATCAATTCAACTGTCAAAACTTTTTTTTATATTAAAATACACCAATTAATATTTGGTTCCTTCTGAACAACCTTTATCAGAAACTCAAAGCACATACATAAAATGCATACCAGTATCTTTTCATTAACTTTGTACAGAGAATTTTCGTTTGGTGAGATAAATACATCTGGTATGAGAACTTTTACCTAATAACCCTCTCAGGTAGGTATCTCAAGTGCAATCTCTGCAGGCAACATACATTAATATTATCCTTTTCAACATGGAGAATTTTACTTTGGCTACAACAAACATTTTGCTGCTTCACCCTTCAAAAAACCTGCAGTAAAGCAGCTTTGTGCTGTTTATCTGAACATTTTGTGGCTTGCTGAAGTCAAAGTTTTCCAAAACCAGAAATAAAATATTTCAGGGAACAGATAATAATTTAGCAACCAAAATATCTCACAACTTTTTCATCCACAGCATGGTTATTTAGATGACCAACTGACTACAGACAAAACTAGCTTACAGCACTAGGAAGTCTTGATTTTAAAAAATTGCAAGTTTTAGAATTGTGTACTTTTGAAGACTCAGATTCCATTACTTACACATAAGAAATTTACACACTTATAAGTGTGTAATTCTTAATAACGGGTATTTTCGCTGCATGGACTTAACAGCAGAAGCTTTTTCTTTGTATTCACCATTTTCATTTAAATCTCTCAGTTTATGTTAAGCATCCTACAATTCAAATATTTATGGTCTCTTACCCCCTCCTCTGTGAGTCTACCCACGCTTGGTCTCTATTGTCTTCTTCTGGGTCATATAGCAGTTCATCATTGGAAAGAATCTGACGTTGCTGATGTTTTCTCTTTTTCCGGGCATCCTGTGTAACTAGAAAGAGTTGTGCAAGCATATGTTAGACCCATCAGACATACGATGACTCTCTACTTCAAAAATCAAACTATTTGTTTTCCAGTTTTCCTTTTCCGTACTTGCAATAAATCTAAGCCAAAACATAAAGGTCTAGCTCATCTCTCCTGCACATGCACCACCCCAAAGCATTAAGGCACCTTACGTACATTGGGATACATCATAAAGTTACAGGAACTACATGGAGATGATATAAGTTGGTAATGCCCCCCGAAAGGCCGCCTCCAGGAACAGCCCCTTGACCCCGCAAGAAGTTTATACAGGATCTGAGAGAGTGCTACTGTAACCATGTCCTCCTCTCTCCTCTCCCCAGCCAGTTACCTATTTTATCTTCATCCTCTGAATCGGAATCAAAGTAAATGTCATCATAGTATTTTGAAGTGGTAGCAGGTCCAGTCTGCCCAGTACTTGAGGAAGTACCTATGTGTGAGATCAGAGAGAGAACTGGTAAGAACATCCTGCCAGAACAACAGAGCCCAGAGCAAGCCTTCGTTTTCAAGTTACTCTATCCAGAAGTGCTCTGCTTTATCTGAGTAACAGATCTCCCAATTTATTCCCACATCCTGGTCATCCACATCACTTGTGTTATTTCATTTACAGGTGCTCCCTCAGAGCAAAGCTGCTCAGTCCCTCTGAGTTGAACCTCAGGTACAGTTCAAAGCAAAGTTTCTTCCAGGATAACACCCCCAGGCAAAAGAGGACACCACACCAAATGTGCCTGCCTCTGCCCTGTATAACCCACACAACCTCAGACACCCCACAGATCTTCAGTCATGTGAAAGAAATACACGTGCCACAAACTTTAATTACAATAAAGTTCACTAAAAAAAACCCCAAAAACTTCAGGGCCACAGTACTTAAAAAAATACCTAGACAAATTGCCAAGCACATCTGTCCCAGCCAGTCTGCACCAAATGTGGTGGTGTAACTATCGCTACATCTTCTTAATTGCACAAGTGAAACCTGCAGCTCAGATTTGCCCACTAACACAGATAAAACTATTAAACTTGCTGAATACAGAGTCAAGTCCCTGCATTAAAGTGAACATAGCATTGATTCTCCAAAAAATTAAGAACACTTCACCAGGTGTTTTGTAATAGGTGAAAAGCAATCCATCTCTTGCATCCATAGTACACAAACACCAAAACACATCGATCTTTAGCACAGTTTTACTATTTGATGTAATGTGTAATTATAAGCAGATAAAGGAGAAAGAGATTAATATTTTTCCTGAGTATTTCCTGCCAACTGATTTGGGATCTCCATCTACCACATGCTACTCCTTTCTTCAAGAATGGGCTCCAAACACTGACGGCATCTGAAGCCACTAGACAAAGTACAAGAGATCACAAACTGCTCAAGAGACTCCTAAATACACGTGACAGAACAACTTAAACCAAGAGTTATAGAGATACTGGATGAAAAGGGACTGATCCAACAAAGAGATATCATATTAAAGCACAAAATCACAAGCTCAGAAACACCAAAATAAAAGTTTTAGAAAAGCCAAAACAGAGGCATTCACTGAAGTGGCACCTGGTGACCGTTACAGCAGAAGGGACTGGCCATTTCAAGATTTTCTGTAGGCTTCAAACAGCACTCGAGTGTCACAACACACCTCTAGTCACAAGAATAATAACTTCACACCTTAACCGGACATCACTTAACTCACTATTTCCTATGCAAGCAGCTGTTAAGTGTGATTTACCCATTTCTGGTGATTTCCATCTGCCTTCCATAGTCCTCATGGTGGTGTCCAGCTCCGCCTCCATCTCCTTTTGGAACTCATCGTCGCTGGAGGACTCGCTCTCCCCGGTGAGGCACTCCCGTATCAGCTTCCGCTTCTGGTCGGGAGTGCCGTGCAGGAGCACGTCCACCTCGTCCTCCGAGCTACGAACAGCCAAGCGTTAGGCACCTCCTTACTACAACCAGCCCGCTACACCGACCGAGTCGCTTGGGGAGCAAACATCTGAACTGCGTGGCTGCGCCGGAAAGCCCTTGTTTATGGGAAATGTATTTATTAAAATGCTTTATTAGCTTGTTGGTGCTAAGGCTCTGGTTTCAATGCAAAGGAGCTCCCACTGAGGGGCTGCGGCCTGTGCCGCCCTCTCCCTCCCTGCAGGGCCGGGGATGCGGTTACACAGGGGCATTCGTCGGGTCACAAACGTCAGTGCTCCGCTTTCAGGGAGAAAGCGTCGGCGGGAGCAGCGCGGGGATCCTCCCGCCACCCCCGGGGCCCTGAGGCAGCTGCGCCGCACCAGGCAGGGGGCCCCCCCGCCACGCCGGCCTCCCCGCACCCCGGCCAGGAGACGGCGGAGAGCGGCGGCCCCGCGGCGGGGTCCCTGCAGCACCTGCTGAGCGCTCGCTCCTCATCGCTGGGCTCCTCCACCACGTACGGGTCGTCCTCCTCCCGCAGGCGGCTCATGGCGGCGCCCGGCCCGCCCGCCCTCCGCCACTGCCGGCCCGGGACCCGACACTTCCGGCCGCCCCCGACGGCTTCCGGCGGCACAGCCCCGCCCCGCCCCCGCCGGCGGAAGAGGCGCGGCCCCGGGATCGGGATCGGTCCCGCCGCTACCGGGCACCCCCCGCCGGCCCGGCCGACCCTCCGGTCCCCGGAGGCCCCTCCCTCGCCTCCCCCCGGCGGTGCCGGTACCGGCCGCCTGACCCTTCCTTTGTCGCGTTTTAAATATTTTTCGCCGCCGTTTTACGGGGGGTGAGAGGCGGAAGAGACAGAGCCGATACCGAGAGGCTTGGAAAAAAATTTAATGAGCCAGTAACACCGAACAACGAGGACTAAGCTAAAAACTGTTCCCACAGCCTACTTAAAATATTTACAATTTTGTTAGCTGTATGTACATTGTAATCTTCGTCCCTTGGAGTCTATTTATAGACGAGTTCCTTAGGAATTATACCTGTTGTATCTGGAAGATGAACAGCACAGTACTCTGCATCATTATTATTATTTATGGACAGTATTATTTCTGTAGACCAGGGGAGCTGCCAAGGGCCCCCGGGCACCGGTAACCAAGGACTGAGGCTGGGCAAAAGCAAGTCAAGGCAGGATGGGGACACTGTGCAATTCACCCCATTGGAGAGAAAAAACAGAAAATAGAGAAGGAAGGGAAAAGAGAAGGAAAAGGGAGAGAGAAAAAAAGGAAAAAACTGAGGAAAAAAAATAAGAAAAGAGAAAAAAGGAAAAAGGGAGAGAAAAAAGAAAAAGAAAGAAAAAAAGAAAAAAGAAAGAAAGAAAGAAAAAAAGAAAGAAAAAAAAAGAAAAAAAAGAAAGAAAAAAAAGAAAAAAAGAAAGAAAAAAAAGAAAAAAAGAAAGAAAGAAAGAAAGAAAGAAAGAAAGAAAAAAAAGAAAGAAAAAAAGAAAGAAAAAAAAGAAAGGAAAAAAAGAAAGAAAAAAAGAAAGAAAAAAAGAAAGAAAAAAAGAAAAAGGGAAAAAAAAGAAAGAAAAAGGGAAAAAAAGAAAGGCAAAGCCGGAACACACCGTACACCTCGGTGGGGCAGGGCAGGAGGCTGCCATCACACAGAGAGGGACTTAAATCAAGCTGTGTGTCCAAACATCCCCTGCAGCCAAATGCTGCTGCTCCACTGAAGGTCTACAAATCCCCAGAAAGCAGCAGTCCCACTGCCAAGAGCAATTCATCAAGTAAAGCCTAATTTTATGACATCTTGAAATGACACGACAGAACAGCACCTCTTGGAAAAGTTTCATGGTTCAAGTAAGAGAGACAAAGAAATACAAGTACAACTGGATTCACGGCTCTGAGTCCAGTCGGCAGAATGAGACCCTCTTCAGGCACTCCTTTACTGGGGATAGCTTTACTTCCTATTTTCTGAAGCAAAGCTTCTTACCTGCATCAAAGTGGGGCGGTATCGTCTTACATGGGTATTTTGTGCACTTTCTGAACTCCCTTCTACCACTTGTTTTCCCCTTTCTGGAAAGAAACCCCAGAAGTTCTCTGAAAAGCACTTCTGCCAAAGAAATTGCAGTCAGCCAACCAAGCTCAAAACAGTTTAAGTACACTGGACAGGAAAGTCACAGACAAAGGGACAGGCAAACAGATAAACCTGAGAATGCAAGTGAGAAATGACTGGGTGAGTAGTGTCAGACCAATCCAATACTGACTCAGTGGTTTTACAGGATGAATAGAGAAAAAGCTAATTAAATTAATCTGATTTACTAGAAAATATTAGGCTTACAGATGATACAATGTCTGCATAATTTTAGAAAAATCATCGATTTCATGGTTTATTTTACAATAATTGGATTAGTCTACAAGTTAAGGCAAACATACTAATGCATTTGCTTTTCTTTTTAAATCATAGTTATAAAGGTTACACAAAGTTCCCCAAAATTTCTAAGAAATGTTCACAATTGAAAAAAAAAGATTAAGTTTCTTGATATCAGTACATGGAAAAAAAAAACTAAGACAGTGTATACAATGCCATTATAGTAACAATATTCAAATATCTAATGGTAATATTTAGGCCATTTGAACAATGTGCTTCAAATGGTGAACTTCAGAAATTACTTACAAAGGTAAATAAGATTGGCAGCCGTATCATAGTATTCATAACATGAACATAATTATATTGGCTATTTTCACAAAAACAGAGCATTTGGTTTCTGAACAATGAAAGCATATAATGATTAAATAAACATGAGTATGTATGTATAACAAGTATGCTGTTGCTTCATATAGTCTGGAGCTACTTTCAGGTGTTTGTTTTAACTCTTTTGAAAGAAGGAGCTTGCTTATGTGCACTTTGTCAAATTTTTTCTCCAGAGAACTGTAAATTTCTCCTATTTAAAGTCATGAAAACAAAATCCAGAGGAGGGCAGCCCTTGTTAGTGGGAGGATGGAGCGTAGCTTATGTGTCACCATTTAACACTGCCAGGCAGCTCTGCAGCAGCTGTAAGTTACCCTGTAAAAATAAAGAACAATATCACCACATTTCCCTACTTTCCCTTACGCTTGTGACAAAAACATGTGTTTTAGATAGCAGTGACACCACTGAAGGAGAACAGACAGGTATTAAGCTCCTGTAGAAATACTTCTGTAAGTCACTTTTATCTTAAAAAGATTTTTGAACATAGGAGCATTATGTCATGGAACTAAATGGAGCCAACCCGAGATTCACAAATAAGCATTTAGTGCCCTTTCCAGGTTTCTTCCCAAGTTTCTCACTAAGATCTAGGGTCACAGCACTCAGTACCTCCTCCCTATAGCAGCCAGCTAAGCTCACAGCTCTGCTCAAGGACGTGTCTTGTTGAAAGACAGACAACAGACTGATGTACATGCTTAGCCAGGTGATTTACCCATCAGAGTTGAGTTTAGCCATTACAGCCGGAGCTATCAGAACATTAACTAAACTTTATCTCTAGGGCTAAGTTCTGCCCTTCTTTTCAAACATCTGTAGGTCAGGTTTTAATCCTATTTAAAGCATTCTGACTCTACCACAAAAAGCATACAGGTTGACTTTCATATTTCTGAATGAATTTACAGGACTGACACTTAAAAGCATTCCAAGCGACATGTGGCAAACAGGCAGAAGGATACTTGTCAGCCCAAAAAATAGTGAGAAATCAAAATTCTATCCCCCATTAAGGTTCTTATAATCCAGATTAGGCAATTAACTAAATTCAAGGCTTCAAAGTAGAAGATTCCCAGCTGTGTCTACTGAATCCTTTTCAGTCTTCTCCAGAAGACAGCGATTTAGCTATGGCTTCAACAGCTTCTTGTCCTTTTACGCCTATACTGGTAGAGGACAGTCACAAGCTAATTAAAAGGCGCGTAATTCTGTGACACGAACAAATTCAACATACATGAGATGCATGGGGACTTGGTAGCCATTCTTTGAAGTGCACAGGATTCATAAATCTAAGGTCTCTGTTAGTGAACAGCTGATTACTGGCTGTTATGAAGTAGCAAATTAAAATGAATACTTCAGTCTGAAGTCTTCAGTTTTCAAACTTTAGGTCTAAATCATAATTGTGAAATGCACACATATTGCCTATAACCAAAGTGTGACAGTAACCTTTTGGCCAATCTCTTTACTGCTCAGCAGCAGCAGCAGGTGCATTTGCAAATCACAGGCTGCTACGTAGCACTCTAAAGAAAAGATGGAACCAAGACGTCCTTTATACATCAGGCATTTCCAGACTCAGCCAGCCAGTATACTGAACTTTTCCAAATAGGCAAATCATTTATTTTCATTAGATCAAATTTAGAAAGTTCACAAGAACAATCTTATTTTAATGATAATAAATCAAGGACAATAGAGGCTGTGAGCCATTACTCTTTCTGGCTGAAACATTTGACTTAACTTGAGAAAGTCCTATAAATTTGGATTCAGAGAAGTTTTTCTTGCCAGCTCAGACTCCTAAGCTCTAGATATTACAGTTACTGGCAGAACCATGGTGACAAAACCACCCTTTTCAGGAAAGGAGGAATTACGGACAAAGCATTTAACCAAATCCTTTAGTACTGGATTTTGCTTACTCCCTTCTTCTGTCAGTACCAAACAGACATCTGTTGCTACTAATGCAACAAATTCTTCTTCCACAAAACCCCACAGAGACAAGAGCAGATATAGTAGTATTTGTGGGAAGAGCTGTTTAGATTTTCTTTTATTATTTTTCATTTGAAGACAGTAGCTATCTTAGTTACAATTCATTTGTCAAAAGACTCTAAAAGTATAGCCAAGGCTATAAATGCTTTAAATACATGATTATAACCTTAGCAGTTTCACCACATATCAAACCTCCCTTCTTGAATGGGAAGTCCAACACAGGAACACCTCAGAATCCAACTATTTAAAATAAAATACTGAATAGGTTTAAATGCAGCTTTTGCACTAAATGCCCAAACAGCTCCATGAAGTCATGAAGAAACACAGAGCTAGCAAACAGAAGCTAAACACGACCTAGAGGGATAGTCAGACAGAATGGCCACAGGAAAAGAAGCATCAATCTGTTTAGTAGAGGTCAGAGACCAAGCAGAATCTAAAGCTGCAGTTTGGCAGCTATTTTAAGTGAATGTAATGTACATGCTGCTGATAAGAAAGCAGCTCTCATTCTCAGACCCTCCCAGCCAAGACTGTGTGTTTTGAATAAACATAAAACAAGGGCTTTGAAAAAAATCAGATCTTGAAAACCTAGTAAAAAATAAAATATCCTTTCATTCAAGAAGTCACAACATTTAACATTTTGAGAACTGTCACCCTTAGTCAAAATGACGTTTTAAGCTGCAAAGCTTTAAATACTCAAAACTGTCTAGTGAATCTTACAGTGCTGCATGATTAAAGTAGGTAAGAAAGGCCAGCAAAAAAAAAATTGACCTCCAAAGACAGGACTACAGTTCAACACTTCCATTACAGCCCTATATACTCCTTGTTAATAATAAGGTAAGTCACAGACTGAGATGGACTATCTTGACAAACTAAGTCTTAAACACAAGCCATGGCAACAAATGAAGACCCCCTAAAAAAATTTAAGCTCCTCCAGGAAAACTGACAACACCAAGAAGCACCTATCAAATAAGTTGAAAGCTACAGAAATAAAGCATTTTTCCCCTGCCTTCTACAGTTATCATGAAAATATTACTAAATATTTTGACTTGCACAGAGAGTTAATACAAGTGATTCTTTAGGGATACTTTGGAAGATAGAGACATTTTTAAGCATTCCACTCCAAGGCATGCAGGGACTTCAGCAAGAGCCAATTACAACATGTGATGAAGAGTCAACGACTAAAGCAGGACACAAGTTCTGTGGATTCATTATTCCCTTATTAAAGCATGATATGGCAAATCAATAAACACTGTTGCAAGTATGGCTGTTCGGGCTATTAATTTCACTAAAACCCATAACCAGCACATTCTTGACCAAACCCAGGGATTTCTAGGAGACTCAGGGCTGGATATAGGCAGCTGTTACACAGAGAAGTAGGAAGGCTGAACAGTGCCAAGTATTTGGAAACGTTTTAAGGCTTTAGGGAAAATATAGTTGAATTTCTGATATAGCACATTAAAGTAAGCACTGTTCATCTCAAAAGGAGTTGAGTATTCCAGACCTTATCCATTATTTTACTAGCTAAATATCCCATCAAGCTGAACTTATACCTAAAGATTAAAAAAGAAAACAATATCCCCAAAACAACCCCTTTTACAGTGCATTAGTTTTATAAACAATGGGTTTGGCAGATGAAGAATGACACCACTGAGAAGAGTGTAAAGCAGCAACAAGTTAACTCAGCAACACTATAAACCTCTTAACTAGTCCTTTCAACAGATACATTCTGAGTTAATTCAACGCTTGGTAGTCAACACACTCAAATTTGTGGTGAGAATGAAAAATGCTAAAGAGTTGACTTTTTAAAGAAAGCTGCCTCCTGCTATGGAACTGTTAAAGTAAGAGACTGTTGTACCTGTCTATGAAATCAGACTAGCTAACCTTGTTTAACCAAAATTGTTAATTTCATATGGGTTAAAAGAATCAAATTTGCTGGGAAATTTCAGGATAGTAGAGGCCCCTTAAAGTTTTTTTCCTGAAAAAAAAATATTTTACTGAAGAGGCTATCTGCAGCATTCCTCTGTTGTTAGCACTTCGCAGTTTAAAGCCAAAAAAAGTTCAAAAAGCATACTCACTGACCTGACTTCAGACAGGCCTGTGGGATCTCATGCTTAATAGTCAGCCTATCCTATACATCAAGTCCCCAACATCTGGATAACAGGAGAAACCACTTCCTATCTCAGAGTAAATTGGTGAGATGAGATTTTAAAAATAGGCAGGTATTCAAACTGTGCAGCTATAAATATCAAACAGCTAGAGAAACAGAAATCTGAAGCCAAAACTGTCTTCAAGGAGATGAATCTTCCAAAGGCACCTGAAGCATACCAGTCTCTCACAGATATTTCACCTATATTTTTTTTCCCCCCTCTATTATTCCCAAAAGTTCACCTTTCTGAATGATGCTTACCTTCAAATCGCCTTCCTGGGTGTGAAGTATGTATCACACAAAACTAATGTAGCCATTTTGGTTATGCAAGCATATAATATTTAAAATCAGTTGAAAAGCAGGCCAAAAAGGATCACAATTACCTTAGCATGCTTTAATTCCAGTTCTGCTAGTTCCACCAGATTTTTTCTGAATGCTGCAACTCTTCTTGTCTTAAAGTCTATCAGTTCTATAGAAAATAAAAATGGATTCATTAACAATATATTGCTAGTGCCCTCAACCATTAACACTTTTCTCCAGGATGGAAGAGGTGAAGGGTTAGAGAAGGCAACAGAAAAAAAAACAAGTTTGATTGCAGCACATTCCGGGCTCAAAGCTACTGCTGCGCTGTCGGATGAAAGCAAACCATGGCTGCAGTTCCTCATCTCTAGCTAGCCTTTTGTGGGCACAAAGCTCTTTTGAAAACACTGCAATGTGGACACTTTAAAACATTCAACTGTCTTATTCCATGTGCACAGTTCCTTCAAGGCTGATGTAAAGAAGTCTCTAGGGAAGATATTAAGTTAAAAGTAGCATGAAGAACAGAAGCAGCAAGCATGCTTTATGCATGCACCTTTGTGGCTAACAGGATGGCTCATCCTCCACTGTCTCACAAGAATCATTAGGCAGATTTACAGAGTCAAACAACTCAAACCATAAAAACAGAAGAGCATGGTGTTTAGACCTCAACCAAATGTGCCCCAAATAATGAGTCAGATGACTACTAACTCACAACAATCTTAGCCTAAAAAAAAAAAAAGGAGATTTTTCCAAGAAAAAGGCAACATGTAAATAAGGTTCTTTTTTTCTCTAACTATTGTAACTCTGCAACTTCAGTGAACTCTCATTTCATGATCCCTCCTTTTTCTAATGTAGTATCGCCTCTGCAACAGACTGCTGCCTTCACAGAAGAATGCGTAAAACCAAAAGGGGAAATTCAACAATCCTTTAAAAGATTATGTTTGCATTTACTGCTAGCAATTATCATTTTGTATCCTATCCTATTCATATAAAAAAAGTGGTTAATAATTTGCATCTAGACTTTGCTCTGCCTAAAGGAGCTATAAGGAGCCAAAAGAAAATATTGTTAGAACTTTTTAAAATAAGTAAATAGTGATTAAAAGATAATCATTCTGGTTAAGAAACAGAACAAAAATCTATTCGCATTAACAGTATCCTAAAATCTCTTAATTTTCAATTAGTAATGTAGGATCAAAGACCACCCAAATACCTTGTTTTGCTGATTCAGATATTTTCTCAAATTTCTGACAGCATATTTGCTGAGTATTTTCAGCTTGCAGCACATCTTTATTTTTTGCTCTTGCTTTATCCAATGCCTTATTAGCATTTTCATAATCCACTAGTGACCTAGATCTTCTATATAGGAGATCCTACAAAAAAAAGTAGAAAGAATGAATGTAGAGTTTACAAGAATCTACACAAGGATTTTAGTGTATACCAAGTAGTAATAATAATAAAGGTTAATTTTAGTCTTTCTTGCTGTATTTCAGTTTTTACTAAATTATTTGCATTCACTTTACTTCATCCTGCACGACACGGGAATTGTACTGAGACAAATAATTTAATATTGTTTGGTCTGCATCTTGTCTGACAGAAGCTAGCACCAGATGGCTTAGATGATACTCCAAAAAGCCTTAAAATGGGCAATTATGGGAAATTTCACAGCTTCTTAGATTAGAAACAAAGTATATTTAGATTATGGTTTTGAAATACACACAGGGGCCAAGAAACAGCAGTAGCATGTTTTGTACAACAGTTATTGCTGTGATCTTCTAACTACAGGTATTTTCTGTCAAATGCCTCTTCTTTCTGTCATGTAACTGAACCGTCTTACATCAAACGACACTAAGAATGGCATTTTCTGTAGGTATAGAATATCAAATCTGGCCCACGTGGTTTTGTATCAGCACTTGCAGAGAATCTCAAGTATCCATTTTTAATATTAACAAAAAAGTAGGCTTCCTTGCAGTCCACAAGCAGCAAACACCCTGCAAACACATGAACAATTCACCAACAGCTCTTCAACTGTTTTTAATTACACTGCACAACCACACCTTGATAAATGGATCACAGAGTTCCAAACAGTCAGTCGCACGGTCAGCAACTGCATTGTCCCTCCTTACACACAACCGAGATCCATGTTTTAGAGTTCAGGGAAAATTTGCAGGCAAGAGGTGGCAGCATTTTACCCTAACTACTGTGAATTTCTCGAGATGATCCCTTTTCTTTTTTTTTTAAGAAGCACTATTTCAGTGAACAAATACATAAATTCACCTTAGCAGCTTGTGATTCCCTTAGATAATATTTCAAAAGATCGGAAAGTTTAAGATCTTCATCAGCAGATACCCGGGCCTCTATTTTCTGGAAAAACAGTAAGTAAAAGCATCAATTTAAAAAACATCCAGACTTTGTAAATACACTATAAAAAATACAACAGTATATGACAGATTGTCTTTTCCAAAAACTAAGATTGTGCATTTGTGACAGAATACTTAAAAATGCAATCTTAAGAAGCAGCATTAGGATTTTATATTAAAAAGCAAGCAATAACCTACTGTGCAAGCAGTAGCTGACAACTAGCTTTCTGCTTTAAACAACGCTTTCTTCCTAATTTCAATTATATGTGTCATACACTAGGAAAACAGCAGAGAAACAAAACTTATCTAGTATAAAGAGTCACGCAAGTTTTGTGTTGGTTTTGAAATCAAAGGAAAACAAAGTTTTAAGACATCTTTGCAGACTAGTTGTGTAACTGCATGTATTAAAATGGTCCAAAATACCTATAAAATTACTTGCTTGTATTTAAAATGGACGTTTCTGTGAATTTAGGAACAGAGTCTGCAAATGCATTTTTTAAATCTTAATTTAAAAAAATATCATCTAAAAGGCAACATTTTAGTTTAAAGCAAGTAATTCTGGTAATTTCATTTTCTTCAAAGTACATATTTAGGCAGATACAACTGTCTGTGTCTCAGAAATGCACACATTTTTAATTCAAAAGTTTTCCTGATACATCGCATGCAAATTCTGCTCTACTAAGCCAAACAAACAAGGCAAAAGAGACAGTTGAAAATTTGGTTAGGAGTATCAGCAACAGTATTTCTGAGTCAAATAATTGCAGAAACAGATCTTGGCTGCAGGAAAAAGCAGCATGACCGCCATTTTTTGGATTAAGAACTACATTTTTTTCCATAACAAGTACAGAAGGCCTCTAGGCATTTTAGAGGAACAGCAGCTTAACTAGTGTATTACACGGAAGACCGGAAGACTGCCTAGAAATGTTTAGCAGACTGAAGACTCCTAAGGATCAACCATTTTACAAAACAGATGACTGAAATCTTAGGTTTTTTCATGCCCTACCACGCATTGCTCAAATGCCTCATATAGAAGCATCCATAAAACATCCACACATTGATGTCTAAGTGACAAGATGTCCTGCCACTTCCAGGATGTACACGAAAAATGTATCTGAAAAGGTTTCATAGTACATACCCTTGTTTTGTCAAATAACTCTGAGACCTTCAGAAAAAACCTGCGCAAAGGAAACAGCTTATATTACAACATTAATTTGAACAGTCTAATTACTTTCTAGAACTCAAAATATAATAGTGTCAGGCAATAAAGGCTGTAAAGGCTCTGCTTAGAATTTTAATTCACAGAACTCTGAGAACATAATAGCTCCAAATTGTACCACTTCAAACATCTTGGGAATTGTACCACTTAAGCAAAAGTAAGGGACAAACAAAGCATAACGGATGGGTGTTTTTCTTACTAAAGAATAATTGCGCAGCTCCTCGGGGATTCTTTATGCTTCTGTGAATTAAACCCCAAACACCACTACCCCGGTTAACGGTCCTGCGCTATTATCAAGCATCCTTCACTCAAATTTGAACGTACTTTTCTTCACACAGTAAACATGATGCATGCCCTACTTTGAATTCCGGGAAGTTGAGCAACAAGATGGCACATCTTCAGCACAGGAGACAATACGAGGGTTCAGTAGAACTGAATTACAGTCAGATCATAATATTTTGAAAGAAGACAGGCATGATTCTTGACAAGATCCTAACAGACAACACCAAATCTCAATACTATAATCAAAGTAATCAATATGTAAGCTACCACCACATTTGGAAGTATATCACTGTAATTCGGTTAAATTAATAAAAATAACTTAACTTTCATACTCATCTGCCTGTTGTCATACTAACTCTAATAAGCGTACATGTTCACAAGCATCAGCATCTTTAAGCTACTTAACTAAGTTTTACTTTCAGATACACCAAACTCAACCAAATCACTGAAAGATTAAAGGACAGGCATCTATACAGTGAGACCCTCTTTTCAAAATTTTAGGGATCTCTATAGATTCTTTTCCTAAAGGCAGTAAAATTGGTACAGGAAACACCCACAAAAATCAGTGTACTCAGACTGAGACCTGTTCTTGCTGCAAATGTCAAAGCACTTAAAACACTTTAAAAAAAAAAAACAACAAAAAAACAACTGGTGAAAGAGTCAGATTTTTTTTCTTATTCAATGAGGACTTTTACATCTCATCTGTATAATTTTCTACAAACTTCAGAAAACAGCATTTTCCAGAAATATATTAAAGTGAAAAAACACTTAAGCAGTCTGTTACTGAAGTGAAATACTACCGAAGAAAATATCTTAATGTGGTACAACTACAATAAATTTGGGTTTTCTCATGACAAGAGAGCTACCTGCAATCTCAGAAGGTCACTGTTACGACTGCTACTTAGCAAATTCCCCCAGAAGTTGTTAACAATATCTTACTTGCATATATCTGTGGAGTCCTGCGTTCCTAATGCATATAACGAAGAACCAATTCGATTATAGTCATCTGCCACATCTAGAAAAATAAACAAGCACTTGTTTTACTATTTTGTTCCACTTCTTTCTGAAAATTTTGAAGTTCCTCAATTTCTTCAAGAGTGGGTGTTTTTCTAAAAGGAACATGCTTTAACACAAAAGCAGAAATAAAATTTCAGTCATGTCACTTTTTATGTAGGATAACTTCACACAACAAACACGGTGCTCTCACCAAATCATGAAGTCTGTAATTTATCTGGGGATATATAATACAATTAGCACCTGCTGGGTAAATTTATTGCGCAACTATGTTAGGTTTTATTTTGGTTAAAGATGTATGAACTCAGAGGCTAAAGTCTGAATTTAAATCTGAATCTAAAGTATAAAGCTATTTGGAAAAAAACACAGTCAAACAATAACAAAGAGTAAGGCTGTAGGCTTGAGAGCAGTAAATTGAATACAAACTCCAAACTACAGCGCTACTTTTCTAGAGCATGCCCAGTTTTCAGGAAACCCTTACCTCATCAAGAAGTGGTCACTGGTTGAAGTAGTATTAGCCTTAAACCATTTTAACCAATGAAATTAGAAGCAGGGTTCGTAAAGAAGGCTGCATAATTTGAATAGTGAGGAATTGCTATATAGTAATCATAAAAAATCTTTGCACAGATGGCTTTTTAAAAGAGCTTTTAGTATAAACTCAATGGATGATGAAAATGCTAATGGATCCAAGCAATAAACAGGAAAATATACTTGTTTGTCATTTTTGAAGTTTATATGCCTTTAAGCAGAATTAACTGTTTTTTAAATAATACAACCTTTTTTAACAGACTGAGTGGGTCACCTTCCACCCAATTCATTACTCTCTACATCTCCAGGGAATCAGTGCAGTTGCTTACAGTGAAGAATTAGGAAACCATTAACCTCCTCATCTATTCCTCCCATTTAAAAGTAAAAATAGATTTTCTGCTGGAAATAGGAAGTCAGTGTCTTTGCAAGTCCTACAGTTCTCTGTTGATCATGAGTAATCCATATACTGCAGACTGCCAGTTTCCAAAACGGGATTTCCCAGGTCACTGCCCTACTCCTCTAGCCAGAATTTCAAAAGGTGCCGTTTGTCCCCATTTGTAGTTTGATAAAAGTTGTCAATAAACATCCTAGCTGATCTGAGCCTGAAAACCAGTGAAGCTTTGTCATGAGTTTGATCAATCCTTTCCCATCGGATCCCCTACAATCTCATTTCTACCATTTTTCCTGCTTCTATAACCCACAGGAAGGCTGTCTCACTACCTAAAGTTTGGCACCTCACTACCATGAACCAGGTTCAATTTTCATTTTAAGAAAGCAAACAAAACACCAGAAACCACTTCAGATGGGAACTGAATGAAAACACAGGGTCCCTTAGTATTTCATTAAGCCATCTTCACTCTCCCCATCTCCTAGAAGAGATACTAAGGCTGCAAAAGACTCAGTCTTCATCCAACAGCAAAAGAAGCCTCTGAAGAGCTCAGTGAATTCTTGGTTTAATGTCTCTTTCAATATCCACTTTAGAGTCCTTACCAATTGAGATTCCTAAAAGGTTTGTGGCCTGGTTTTGTGTGAACTGTATTACTGTTGATTCACAGATTCTGTCTTTATCTGACACAAACTTCAAGAAAGTAGATAGAACCTATCTACTTTCCATTTTGATTTATCTAGGCACAAAAACGTAAAATCAAGGGTAATAAAGGTCCGCTTTTTTCCTGAACTTCTCAAAATACAGTAATCCTAGACCAAACACAGTAGTCCTAAACCAAAGGTTTTCTATTTTCTCAAATAAGTACACCACACGTGAGAGGACTATCTAGAGCTTCTAGAAACACATCAGCTAGCACTCAGCTCAGGAAGATATAGCGAAGTGGAAGATCTCACCTCAGTAAGCAAACCAAACTACTGAATATACACATTCCAGTCTCCATTCTAAAAGGCTGGAAAATGGAAACTGACTTCCTAGACTAGAACTATATGGCCCAAATAGGAATTTGCAGCTCAACAAGGCAATGGAATGGAATGCCTAGTGTGCAAAAAAATTGCACTCTGATGAATGCAAGATGATCCAAATCAGAGCAAATTCATTAAGAGTAAAATCACGCATACTGCTATGTTACCCACCTTTAAAGTCTAAGACTTTCAAAAAAACATTATTACATAACGTGAGTTTTCTTTCAAAGGGACAACATAAAGAATCAAGACATCACTGGTGTCGCTTCAGGCTGTTCTTACTCCATCCAGTCTATTACAGCAAAGGCTGAACTTTGAGAGTCAGATTAAACTTCTTTAAGACTATCCGAAGACTACACTTGGAGAAATTAAGTCACTTTTCACATGCAAAAAGAGAACTAAAAATCACTGCTCCCCATGAATCACTTCTGTATACTTTAACTAGTACAATTTTTACCCTGGAAAAGAACTCACTTTTATGTGATCTTGTCATTTTATCAGATTTGGCAGAAGCATCTTTGACTCGGTTGTGATATTCTACAAGGAATGTTCTTTCATGTTCAAAAAAGTCATCCACATCCTACAAAAAAACAAGAACAATTTAAAAACCAGGGTTTCGGTCACTCTGTACAGAGCAATTGCAGAGTAACTTTGCATATATTGCTGGTGCTGTGGCATGAAATGTGATCTATTTTTATTGGCTAAAACATGACTTATATAAACTGATTTCTCCTTCCTTTATCATGATCTGAAGTTTTATTAAGAATTTATTAAGAATCAAGAATTTGTAACCAGCATCTTAAAGGTCTAGATAACTAAACCTGAAGGAAATAATTTCACTACTAACTACCACTTTGGTGACAGAAAACTAGAATAAATGTCAATAAAAGGACATCTACCTAAAAAAGAGAAGGAAGGGAAGAAAGATACCCAGTTGCACAGAACGCTGTGGTCACAGCAGAGAAGATATGAACTCCTAGCTCAGGAACGCTGATCTTGATGACAGATTTCTTTCAAGTTGGCAAATGTAGGGAAAATTTAATATTTTCTGTATTATAATTTTAGATATTTGATTTATATTTATTCAAAAACCCCCTCTAAAATAGCACAGATGGTCAATACCATGGAATAGCCTACAATGTGGTTTTGAACAATGTGCTTATGAAAACTGCTGGTTATTTGGACTTTGTATTTTTCTCCAAGTCATAATTAATCCATGGTTATATCCACTTTACAGCAGTTTCAAAGCTGAGGTGTTACAACTAGGAACTTTAGCCCTCTAATTTCCTTGCAAATGAAAAGTTACCACTAGAAAGAAAGGTGATCAAAAACATCTTCTGCAGAATTTATGCTTGTTATAAAACCAATCTTTCAACTTTAGGAAAAGTCAAAATGAAATAGATTTTTTTTTAATTAAAAAAATGCTTAATTTCATAAAACAGGGGAAAGAGTACTGAAAGCCTTCTTTCACAGAAGCTATCAGACAGCTCTCGGTTATCTTGCATCCAGGGCCACAGGATCCTTCCCATGCTGTGCCTTATTCTTAGGTTAGGCCGCTAAAAAAACCTCTTGTTTTGTAGCATTGTAAAATTCTGCTTCATTAAAAGATGACAATACTATTAATACATTTTAAATCTTGAAATGTAAGCACTAATCACCTTTACTCCTGAAACAATGACACCATCTGCTGATTTAACCATATTTTTAAAGAAGTCTTCAAGTTTCTCTTTCTTATTTTTCCCACGAACACTCAACTGAAAAACAAATTCATGTATCAAGTTAGTTCCTTTTCTGGAGGTAACCAAAGCTTTAAATAAAAATAAAATAGAGCTACATACCACAACTTGCTACTCCTAAACCAGTTTTCCTGCTCTCTGCTTAGTCTTATACTCTGCATCAGTGGGGACAGGGCGCTATGCACCCAGAATGACAGACTACCTCATTTCCTAGACTGTTCTCTATCCCCTAAAATACTATTTCAGGAAGAAAGAAGAAACAAAAACAAACAGAAAACCCAGCAACATCCTAGCACTTGCAGATAATACCAAATGTACAAAGTGTACATTTCAGTTATAAATAATACAGTATTTATCATGTACATTATAGCTATTGACTTAACCCAATATAACCAGGTTTTGCTCTTTTAAGTGTAGAAGGGCAGATCTTTGACTTTCAGAAACTACTGAAGCATTTACACCCTCCCTGCACTGAGAGTAATGTTGGTTTCAGCCTCCTCACTCTCTCCCCGTCCATCTAAATTTGCCCAATTTAGGTAAACTGAGTTCCTGAACCAGTAGGCATTTCTACATCAAGCAACAAGAGGATGCTCTGTAATGTATTTTGAAGTTGAGCACGTAATGAATTGAGCCAATCTTTGTAATGATTTCTTCAATATTCAATGCTGATTTCTCCAATTTTGAAGCAACTAAGAACTGTTTGTAGAATATAAGCAACCACCAACTCAAACACTATTATGAACCCAGAAAGCCTTCTCTATTACCTTAAAATTAGATAGCAACTCAGTGTGTAACATGCGGATAGCCAGACTAGCCCAGTATCTAAAAAAAAATTAACCAAATTTTCACCTACACTATTAACAAAAGGGTTTTACTTATCAGCACATTTCATTAGAAGTCCTCTCTAGTTTTGTTAGCAACAGAATTTAAATCATGGTTCCAAATCCTAAAAATTAACATTCTATCTTTGTTGCATCATCCTTCCCCTCAAAAAAAAAAAAAAAAATTAAAAATTCAGTCAAAGAGTGGACAAGTATAACATCATGGGAAATCACCTCCAAAACTTAATCTATTTAATCCAAAACATATTGGATTTTCATTAATATTTCTGATGCTGAGGCTAGAGCACATAGTGCATTTGGTTCCCCAGGTGGCAGCAAAATGAACTCCTACAGACTAAATGAATTTCTGACTTTTACAGTACAAATATGTCTGGTATGAAGGAATTGATGCAATTTGCTCCAGGAGGTAAAGCCCTCTTAATCAATTTTCCATCCTACTATAAAAGTACATCTTGATTTCTCTTGCCAACAATTCAGTTTGCAATACTCACATCCTGATTGTATTCCAAGAATACATGGAAATTTAAATCCTTTCTCAAAATAGGATGCGCTGCCACACGACACAAAAACACTTCATGCATTGCAACTGTCTTCTTGAATATTGCCAAATATTCACTGAAAACAAGAAACAAGACACACATAAGAATTTCACATGAAGCAATTAAGTTTGAGATAAGCCTAGTGAGATGCTTTAAGAGATCCTTGGTAAGAATACAAAACTATAAGCCGATATAGTAGAGGTTATCACTCCAATATTTGATTTATTGATAAATCAATTGATGGGGGAAATCTGAAGCCCTAACATGTTATGGAGAGACTTTTAATAAAGACTCAAAAAATGCATTCTAATTTTTAAGGCTAGCTAACACAGACTGGTTTGCTGAGTGTAACCTCATTTAATTATCCTTTCCCCAACTCCCCAAAAAATCAAGAAATTGAGATACAGACTACAGTCATTAGGCACTGTGTAGCTGATATGCAAATTCCTTCCTCCCCATCTCCATCCCCTTGCCTATTTGCACCCTCCTTACTTATTTAAATGTTCATGTAGTTTTGTTAGCTCTTTAGATAGCAGTCTTATTCCATGTTAAAGCACCTAGCCTTTTTGGGCTGTCTTGCTTCATAGTGGTTCTAAAAGTGAAATTAAGTGCTGCATTTGGTAGGTACAACCAAAAAAAAAAAATCACATTTAACCATGACAATCGCATAGCTGCCCAGTTTAGCCAACTCAACTTTAAAGCAATCGCTCATTTGTGATTTAATTAAGAAGAAGGCATTCTTATCAAAACAAGTTTGCTAGAATTCACTTTGCTTTGCAAATTCAATGAGTAAGATGTAACTTGTCTAGAAATGAGGAAGGATCTCTTTTCCCCATTCTGAGGTCAAACAGTGAAATGATAATCAACACTTTTGCTTCCACTATGTGCAAGGAGGTTAAGATTTACATACCAGCAAACCAGCAGGGCCAGTGTTGGGAGATGTTTGATCTCAGTGAGAGTAGTAGTCATTCAGTGAAGACAAAAAAGGAGGATGCAGAGGATGGAGGTGGCAGTAGAAGAAACCCAAAGTTTTCTGTGTTATCCAACCCCTAACCAGACCACAAGAGAATCATGATCAGGGCCGCTGGAAAACCACAGATTCTTTAAAATCTATAGTGTTTTGCTAAATTTCCAGTTTTCTGCGTATGAAGTGTATATCTACTCTGCTATAAATTACATTGTATGTAACACTAATACAGAGCTTTTTAAGACATTTGCTCACAGCAGCTGGAGTTCGGAGGGAAAACAGCAGTTCTAAGAGTTCTATGTACTTTTCTTGCCAATTCAGAGCTCTTGATAGCAGCAGTCTAGAAGCAGCGTAAATATACACTTGAAAACTGAAACCAATGACAGGAAAAAGATCAAAGAAGTGAATGCATGATAAGGAAAGTGGATGAAGCAAGGAGAAACTTCACTGGTTAACTCAATATGGAACAAAAAGCCTTGAAGCAGATATTTCAATACACATTAAATTCACAGTAAGGAAAAATACTATTTTCAGGAAGTATATTCTCCTTGTGCCAAAAAAAAAAAAAGTGTCAATAAAAAAGTATTTTCTAGGAATCTCCACATTTCCTGGGGAACAGGAGGTTGGCATCTATGTTTGTAGTACCAACCACATGCAAACATCCCTAGTTCAATCACTAAATGTATAAAACTTAAAGTTTCATTATGTTTATAAAATATGAAACACCAGAACTAAAAAGATAGGGGTCACCTCCTCTCTCGGCAGGTGTTCTGTGTTTTTTCCTTATAAAAGAATGCTCAAGAACAAGCTGGGGGTTTTTTTCCTGTTTCAGAGTACCTTCCATGAAATTATTTCTACAATTTTCCTAATGGCTCTGATCATGATCACTAAGATAACCCTGGTTACGTAGCAACTGGATTCTCAAGCCTATATCTCACAAAGAACCATTACAGTGAACAGAAACACGGGACAGCAAACAGTATTAAAAGTTGAGGGATTAAAAAAAATAATAAATCAAGTAATCAAGTCTACATACGCCTCCAGCTCTTGTTTCATCTTGGTGAATTCTTCTTTAGTCATTGATCCTTCCCCTTCTCCAAGTTTCTGCAATTTCTCCCTTGAGGCATCAAAGTCAGGCCTGGGTGGTGCTGGTGGAATCTGGAATGGAATCAATTTTTTTTAATTGCTCATCTTTTTAAACAACATCTATTCAGTACAGGAACTGTAAATTGCCAGCAGCTTTTTAATATATGGCACTCTCTTTCATCATTCATTACAGCATTTATGGATAAACTCTCTCATTCATGAGTTAGACATGCTGCATTACCGTACTAATTTTGGCCAAGTGTCCTTGAAGATTACTAAAGCATTAACGAATGGCTCCAGTAGTTTAATTACAACAAAAACCAAATCATACCTAGCTCTTCCATTACAATGAATTAAACCTTGAAATCATTATTTTATCATTAGGTTTTTCTACCTTATTTGGTAAGGATTATTTCTTGTTAAAAGAAAAAAAAACGAATTCCACAATTGTTTTCACACCATCCATTTATAACTCCCCAAAACTTTAAACCAAAAAAAAAACCCCATTCCATATTGTTTGCAGGCACCAGTTCTTTCTTGCAGCACTGTTGACATTAAAGATACAACAGTTGAAATAACAAAGCACACAGTAAACAAGTCTGTGGGTTAATCCTGTAATATAGTATTTTAAAATTGAAAGAGAAAACACCACAGTCAGACTAATCCCGAATTGCTATCAGTAAAGGGACACAGAACAAAGCTAAACTATGCTTAAATTTTAGTTCACTGATATTTGCCCATTACATTAATGCATTACAAAAAAGAAAAATCCAGCACCTACGCAGTCAACTGTCTGAAAGTAGCTATTATCACACGGAAGGTCTAGTCACTTCAAATAGCTTTTCTGACTAAAGAAAAGATTAGCTCAAGAATGGTATAACACATCACAGATTATATTCACCATAATGTACTCAATATTAGAAATAGATCTTTACGTTCTGAATCAGTAGACAGCCCCCCAAACACAAAATGAATACCTTAACTTTCACACCAAGATGACAAATATTCCTATTTTTAATTACAGTATGAACAGCAACGCCCATTTTTAATAGGCAGTATCGTAATGTGACTGTTCTGGGATCTCTGTTCCCTGGAAGCCTGAAACAAACTTCAAAATATAAGTTGTCAAGTTGTGTACTAAAGTTCTCTGAAGTTCTACACGGTATTTGTGTTGGTTATTTCCCCTCCAACTGATTTATAGTGAAACGATTCTGATCTCCATGATGAAAACTGGAAAAATCTAATTACTAGAGCTCAGTTACTGCACTCTGTCATTTCAGCTAAAACAAAGGCAACAAGAAACTTGTAACTAAGTTAAACATTAGCTTGCAAAAACAATACCAGCAAGTTATACAGTTCACCTATCTCCCACACTTTCAATATGGTGGACTAAAAATACACCTGGATACAGATTAAACTACTTTAGGAGTGAAAGTTAAGATAGTATGACAACTACAGTAACTTTCCTCTAAGTTTGCTTCAACCATTAATTCCGCATAATTGCATAAAGCAAAGTATTAGAGCATCTGTTTTTAGAAAGAATGAACATCTGCTGTTTCCATTGCACTTAAAAGCAGTTAAAAGTACTTTTGCTACAGTCCACAGAAAACAGTGCACATAAACCAAAAGAACTGCAATACTTACGATATAGCCAGCATAGTCCTCGTTCTCAACAAAAGAATCATGAAGCCAAATAAACTCTTCATGTTGCCGGACAACAGAAAATTCATTTTGTTTGAAATTTGGTAAGGAACTCTAGAAGGTGAAAAGGAGGAAGAATTGAAAAAAAAAAAAACCACCAAAACAAACCAAACAACAAAAAAACCAAACCAACCCCCCCTCCCCAAAACCACAATGTTTTTCATTACTATAGGAAAAACACCTTGAAGGAACCATAAAAATACCCCTGAAAAACAATTCAATCACCCAAGTAAGGATTTGACCAAAAATGTTCTGCATTTTTGCTGCAAAAAACGATACTGAAGAATATTGAGGTATATTAAAGATTCTACTTGCAAATAGGCCAAGTAATAAGCATGGGAACGGCATGACAACCCATCAGTACAAAAAAACAAAAGTCACTTTTTATCTAAGCAGTTTTTTAACCTCTTAACTTTTTTGCCATCTTTTTCTTAAGCACTGCAGTTACACAGTCTCTTAAACATGAGATAATGCTACATTCTCATTTCCATTGGATTGTGTTACACTTGTTTCAATAAACAGTTTAAGCAAACTTTCTTTTCTATATAATTAAGAACATATTCAGTGTACAAACCCAGGCTTTTACCTTTGTATGGACAGTGAATTTGACTTTGTCCCTCTCACTGAGTGCATCCGAGATATCCACTTGCAGAGCAGCATCAGTCTGGAGATCTACATTTATTGCTCTAAGCTAATGAAAGAAAAATCTATTTAGCTTAAATTAAAAAAACAAAGTCACTTATATTTCCCTTATTCTTACCTTGAGAAGAACCCTGATCTTGCAATGACAAACATCCTTAAAAGACTGATTACAAAAAAACCCCAACAGTAAAAGACTATTTCTAGCAGAAAAAGAAGTTTCAGTAATACCCCTTATGGCACACACGACCATACAAATAATTTCCTTTACCACACGCCTTGTTAGTGCACTATTATAATTTCTGTGTATTGTTAACTTGCTAGTGATTGAGATGATCAAGACCAAGTACATTTACAGACAGCAAGTGCGGTAGGTTTTTTACTTCCATTTTTCTCTTCATTCCCCCCACTTCTCCAGATCAACAACCTGTAAATGTAAAGATAATTATAGAGGTACTAGTAATTGGGAAAGTACGTTTAAGGAGAGAGGTGATCCTAGTTCAAAGGAGCAAGAACTATTAAAGTTTGTGGTTTACTCACATTGTCTTATACTATTCCTTTGTTTAATGTTTCCCATGATATATTGAAAAAGCTTAAAAAACCATTAATACCCTGAACTTTACAAAGCTAAGTCCTTGGAAATATTTTCCTGAATAGAAAGGAAAAAAAAAAAACCCAATGAAAAAAACCCAAACAAATTCCCCCCCTAAACTAAAGATTTCATCTCTTAAAAATCAGCATGAGAAACGGCAAAAATGCAAGGAATATGCATATTGCTTCCACAAGACATGAAAGCTGAACTCTCTCACAAAATAATTCCAAAGTCCCATCAAAAATAAAATGAGACAATGATCAAATATTAAAAAAAAAATAGAAGAGTATCTGAGCACCACAATGTGTAACTTGATCAAAGGCTTCAACAGTACTTGGTGAAACCAGAACCTCATCTAGACCCCAACTGGAAATTCAAGTCTCCTCACCCTTGCACCCTGCTTATTCTACAGCAGTTTGTCCCATGACCACCTCATCATCACGATCAACAGACATTCAGAATATTCACAAGTACTAAGGCTAACTCTGAAATATTCTCCAATCACATTGGCAAAAAACATTTCAATGTCATGCTCATGAGGCTTACTTTTTACTGAGATGCTGTTTTCTTTGATGCTGCATTTTTTCTAGAAATATCACATTCTACAGTATAAAAATGCTTTGCCATACAAAGATACAGATGGTTTTTTTCCTGCAAAATTTTTCAGGACTACATTTTGAAGTTCCTACTCAAGTACAAAAATGCTTTGAGTATCGGCAACACACAGTACAAAGGTTACACGTGAGCAGATTTTGAAGGTAATGCTGCAAGGCACTGGAACAGCACTAGGAGAGAAGCATCAACTGCCACATCTTGTTTTCCACCACTTATCTTAATCCTTATCTTAAGAATCACAGCGGTCAGCTCACTCTAGTTGTCTTGTTAACCTCAATGCATAAACAAGTCTGCTGCTTATACAGCAGCAACCACGCTAATATTAGCGTATTAAAGTAAACCAAAATCACAGAGTCTAGCATATTCTGCTACGCTAGCAAAATATAACAGTTCAATAGCTATTACACAAATAGTAATAGCTTTTCCTTACAGCAAAGTTGGAAATCATTAAAATCACTGCACAGTAATATATTCACACACGTGATTCAGGCATCGCTTTTTGTTTCATTTCCCCAAGGTTTAGGGGGTCACTGCCTCACACAAAGGCACATTATCATGCAAGGATCCATCAGATCACTTCTCAGAGGCAGAATCTCCTAACTCCTACAGAGTTTCTAATGTGCTTAACATCTAATTTAAGAAACAAAAATATAATCTGATATACCAATGTCTGTGTTATGTCATGACACCACATTTTTCAGCTTGTAAAAAAGTTTTTAGTGGTTATACTGTCTGGGGTACTGTTTGTTTTTCTCCGGTCCCCCAGAACACATTAACAGAGTAATCTCAGCACATAATATGGATTATCCAAATAGTATTTTTGCAGTCTTTCACGGGTCACAAAAATTTCTACTAAAATGCCTTTTTTCTCCTTTTTTTAAAAAGTGGTACAATAAAAAATTCTAAGATTCAGTATAACAGCTGTTCAAGTTTGTACTAGTGTGTGTCTCCAGGGCAGCGCACCCTGGCTATATGCACTACTCACAGCTTTTGAAACAAAATGCTCATCTGTGCTCAGAAAATTAAGAACTGCCTAAACATGACAATTTCACTCATGACATACAACTAACTGAAAAGGACTAGCTGTTTGACTTATACCAAGTTAAGTTTGTAACAGTTTTGAAGAGTTTAATCATATGTTAAATTATGCTGTGTAACCTGACTGCCAACAGGGAACGTTTTAATCTGCAATGGTAATGAAGCATTTATGAAAGGTGTCAAAGACAATCAGAAAGTTGAAGGGCTTTAAATGTATTCATGTGACACTATGGTTCATGTTGCATTCCTGGGAATTAAATCCACAAACAATATCATCACACAACTTAAGCAATTTCTTCATCACTACTTCCAAAAGAAAATCACCACCAATGGATGATTTTCTAGTCATGAAGGGAGTAGAAAATAAAAAAAATGAAATGCTACAAAATCTGACCTGGATGAAAACAGAAATCAAAGTACCTTAAATTCTTGAAAAAACTGGCTCGGATACAGTCCCTTTGTATCTTGCCCCCCCCTTCCCTCCAATTTGATACATACAACATAGTACAATAATTCTATGCTTGGATACATGTTCTACACCCATGCTGAACAACTTGCAAAACAAAAGTTAACTTAATCTAGCTACTTTGCAGTTTCCTATGCTACAGCAAGAAAGCCCGTTTTATTCAAAGGTCTAGAAAATACCAGAAGCCAAAAGCAGGCCTAAGCAATGTTACAGTACTAAACAAGAGCACAATGCAAGAAGAGGATTTAGCACCTAAGCCCTTGCTAAAGGATCAATTATACTTCAAATCATAATGGGAGGAAGATTGCAGATACAAGGGAAGCAACCAAACCTTACATTCCTAGGTGGTGTCATCCCTTAACAACAGTAACTTCTACACTCTAAGCTCTATCAAAAATGTTGGAGAAAAAGGACTCTTTCTTCAGCGAGTTCTTTACAGGCAGATAAATGGACAGAGCAAGGGAAACAAACAATACTTTTACAACAAAAGATTAGGAAGTGTCATCAGGGCATTAAGTTTCAAGCAGACCTGTTCTAAGGGATAGCTCATTTCTCCTAAATGAGTAGACAAGAACATTAGCCAAGTCGGCTAAAGTTTATACAGATACAAAATACACAAGACAGCACTAGTATACCACCTTTCAAAGCACGTATTGTTTACGTTAGAGAGATCACAAGAAATCCCAACAGGAACTGAGTTACTCCAAGTGAACTCAATAGTATCTTCCTAAGGGAGATTTCGAAAAGCAATTCCTGCAAGTTCATTTTAGGCAGACCGTTATAATAAGTTCCTTCTACAGACCACCCACTGCTACTTCCTCAAAGATGATTCTCAGTGCTCCGTTTTACAATTGTCTGGAAAAGGCTCCATATGGTATAACACAATTGTTTGAGAATTACTGTTTTATGTGGCATCAGCGTAATTTCCAGGCATGTTTTCATGCCATCACCCCCACGTTAAACTTAACACAACCGCAGCTGACCAACATGATTCTGAAGAATTACCAGTACAGTTGTCATAGCAGTATCTGAATTCCAGACAGGAAAGATTTTCAAAACTAAAAGCTCAATTACCCTAATCAGAAGTTGTCATCCATGCTTTCAAATAAAGGCTTAACCTACTCGGTCTTTAATCGCAAACAGAGGAAGGAGACAAATCAGAATAAGGGAAACACTTTATGAAAAGATGTTTATTTTTACTACTGCTACAAAGACAAAAAAGTTATGGTTTTGAAGATTAAATTACAGCAAATCAATTCATGAACAAACTGCCAGTATTGCTTTTCATTAGCTTTTTGTATCACAATCGAAATCATGCAGGTAACAACCTGTGTTTTAACCTCACAGCAGTGAAAAAATTAAAACCCCAGAGTCATTGAAAGTAAGAAACCTTAAAAAATTAAGGAAAGGAGGAGGACACTGTTCTGGTTTAATTCCTCAGTTCTGGATGCAGATGGGGGAGGGAAGAAAAAAAAAAAAGGACTGCACTTGGCCAACTGAGATGATGTAAGTTGTCCAACAGCACAAACAAGACTGCTAAGGGATTTCTTAAGGCTTTCAAATTACCTTATGAACTCTGACTACCTGTAGCCTTAGAGAGAAAGCTAATAAGCAAACAAACAAGTTTCACACAAAATCAGATCTGCATTGTTATGTTCTACCTGTACCTTCAGATAAAGACAACTTAGCTGTGCACTTCAATGTCTGTTCCTAAATACCAGAGTCAACCTATGTAAAATACAACTTCATTATCAACAAGTCCTTCACTCTTTGTTCTGAAGACACCCACAAGACAACAATTTTCACCTTCTTTTTTATCCAATATTCTTACTAAAGTAGCTGTATAATTAAAGGCAAAAGCTCCACAGGGGCCAGAATTGGTGTAATGCAATACTAGAATTCCATTTTTAATTTCCGGTCATAAACTGGAACATAAAATACACTGAATTCCTACCACATGCATACAGTCAAAAATCACTTAGTACTTAACATTACCTTTGACGCTTGAGTATGGCATGCATGACAAAAGGGTACACCAACCGTTTTTTCCAGATATTGTATTTTTAGTAATATATTGGGTGTAGCCATTTTAATAGCCAGCAATAGCCAAGGCAGCCTAAGCAACCCAGAAGCTGCTCTCCTGCCTTGCTCAGAGTCAGTCTCTCTCAAGATACCAACTGATAGGGGTAATCATTCTGAATGAGTTATACTAGATTAGCTGATTTGTTGCTTAAGTGAGGCAGGCGAGTTAAAGAAAGACAGATAAAGCAGTCAGAAGAGAACTGAAGGCCAGAAGCAGCAGGGCAGATAAAAAGGTTTTCTCAGTAAGAAACATAATCATGGCATCCTGTCCCAACAACAGAACTTCTGTTCGATACAGAGTTTATTATGCAGCATGGGCCTGCAATGTCAACGTCCCATTGTCATCTCTGGGAGAACCTCTGGGGCCTAAGGAGAGGAGAGAGGGCAGGGCTATTTCACCCAGGCCCTGGCTCACGAATAAAGATGGAACCTGGTCCTCTCCACAAGGCTGGTCCACCTGGTCAGGACCACAGCAGATCTGGGGTGCCTGCGGGGTGACGGGGGGCACCTACCAGAGGACACAGAGGGAGAAGAGGAATCTCTAGCAGCACCCACAGCCCCCTCTCAACCCACTCCAGCAAAAACGCTGAAGAACTGCCCTTCCAAAACTTGGGCGACAGAACAATGAAAAATTCAAGGCAACACACGCATGGACACAGAGACTGATGTCAGATGGAGACAGCGCTATTTCCACACCAGCAGATCCCGGCAGACGAACACCCCGGGCCCCCACCGCCGCCCCCGGCCACCCCG